GAACGGGGAGAGTAGCGATCCAAGGTGAAGACAAACCGACAAGCTACATACACATACACAAAAGAAATTAGCTATGTTAGTGTCTTGGTAACGACGATGAGGAGGAAAATTTCGAACCAACTGGGGAAAAAATTCAGCTAGATTAGTGTCTTGGTAACGACGATGATAATGACGAGAAAAAGAGGGATCAATACATTTGCCTGCTCGATATTCGGCTTCCGCGTGCTTGTAGGCGGCACGTATGTCCGGCCTATGAGCTAGCTCGTCGGGGATGTAGGGTTTGTGGAGCAGAGGACTGGGTGGATAAGAGGATTCCTCCGTCGAGGACTCGACCACATCATCGTCGTACGCACGATCTGCATGCATACATACAGAAAATATAAGCACCAATACTGCTAGTAGTAGTACTACTCATGTCGTGATTAGGAGGGGAATCGGGCGGAGGTTGGGCACCTAATTTTGGTTGGGGTTGGGCTTTTTCACTCTCAAAGGCCGCGAACATCACTGCCAGTGCCAGGCTTCTCTTGGTCTTCTTCTTCTTCTTCCTCCTCGCTTCCGTCTCCGTCTCCGTCCCCGGATTCCCCCTCCTGCGCCGCCTCCCGGCCTTCGGCATCTTCCAACGGTTTGGGGTTGAGGCGGCTGCGTCTGCGTGCGTGTCTTGATTTTCAATCTCTCCTCTTCTTTTATAGACTGCCGCGACGAGAAGCTGTACCAATGGATGCGGGACTTGTTTCCGTCACTGACTCGACCTGGGCTGCCCGTGGACCCTGGCCCAGCAAACCCTATTTCACGACAATGACCGCAATGGGTCGGCCCAGCTAGAGTGTTCCAAGCCCCCGACAGGGTAGTTCGAAATATACATGTTACAAAAAACACTTCACACAAGTTTTAGAAAAAAATGTTACAGTGAATCTGAAAAGTGTTTAATGTGTGTAGAAAAAAAATACCTGTATACAAATAATTCATTTTTTAAACCTTTACAAAAAAATGTTTCACATGCACAACAAAAAATGTACGATGTGCACAACAAAAGTTAGACATCAAAACCACTATTTGAAAAAGAAATGTTAATCATGTATATGAATTTTTTAAACCTGTATAAATGTTTTTAGATGTGTACCCAAAATATACAATGTGTACCAAGACAAGATATTAAAACATTGAACTTGTGTAGAAAATGTTATCATGTAGTTAGAAAATTTAAACATGTACACGAAAAATTAAACTTGTGTAGAACAATGTTTTAAATGTGTAAGAAAAAATGAATGATGTGTATTGTAAAAAGGAGAAGTCAAAACATATATTTGAAAAATATTAATCATGAATATGAAAAATGTTAAACATGTATAAAAATGTTTAGGTGTATACCAAATATGTACAATTTGTACAAAAACAGAATATATAAAAAACATATATTTGAAAAAAGCATTTAATTGTGTATTAAAAATTTGTTCTTGACGTATACGAAAAATGTACAATTTGTGAATGTGCTAAAGAAAAATAAAATAAAAAGATAAAAAAGTAAAACCAATGAGAAAAAGAAAACAAGAAAACCAGAGAACAGCCAATATAAAAAAATGAAAAAGAAACAAGAGAAAAGTAAACAAGAAAACCAAGAAAAAAAACAAAGAAACAAACCTGGAAAGAAACCAAGAAAACCAATGGAAAAAGAAAACGAACAAAGAAAACCAAAGCAAATCGAACTACAGCAACAGGGGGAGTATAGCTAACGCGACGACCCATGTGCGAGCCTTTCAAGCGAGCTAGATGGATATCTCGCTGTAACCGAGACATAGCATTCGTGGTCCTGTATGGTGGCGTGATGGATATCTCGCTATAAGCAAAATATAGCATTCATGGTCTTGTAGGGCGACCTGGTTGGCTGCTCGGTCATTTTTTTTTGAGAAACAAAAATGCATTGATCATCAGATTTCTTTTAGACAGTCTTGTGAAGCTTTTATTAAGTCGTCATAATGTTTGCATGGATGAAATTAAGGGATCCAAGCTGACCTAATCAAACATGACAGACATCCCTTAAGATAACGGTAATGTAAAAAATCTGACGTCAGACTTTTAACTTTTCAGCATGGCAAATCTAATGCTTCTGATGGCAAGTTTAGTTGGCACGAGGGTGGCAAACTTAGTTTACAAGAACGACAATTTCCTAACAAAAACAATATGGACTAATAAGACGAATTTGCCATGCATATCAACTAAACTTGTCATCCTCGATAAACATAAATCATCATAAAAATGTTTGATTTTCCATAGTTAAAAAATCAATCTAGTTGGCCAAACCAAACGGATAGATCGGAGAGAAATACAAAGATATAACAATCATGCATAATAAAGTTCATAAAAGACTCAATTACTTTCAGTGAATAATCTGATCATAAATCCACAATTCATTGGATCCCAACAAGCATACCGCAAAAGAAGATTACATCGAATTGATCTCCCAAGATAACATTGTATTGAAGATCAAAGATAGAGAAGAAGTCATCTAGCTACTAGCTATGGACCCGTAGGTCTATGATGAACTACTCACACATCATCAGGAGGGCAATAAGGTTGATGTAGAAGCCCTCCGTGATCTATTTCCCCTCCGACAGAGTACCAAAAAAGGCCTCCAGATGTGATTGCGGAAGAACTGGGACTTGTCGTGGCAGAAAAATTGTTTCGGATGGCTCTCTGTTGGCAAAACTTAGTCCCTCAACTCTTCAAACTGGATAAGTTTAGTTCCTCGTCTCAGCCCACAAAGTCCTCACCCTATTCACCTTAACATACATCCAATCCGGATGAAGGGCCGCATTGCCAACACGAGACCTCCAGATCTAGATGAGGGAGCCGCCACCACTGAAGCCACAACAATGCCAGGATCACTCGCCACCCCTCCCCTTGCTACCCCCATAGCCAAGAGATGGCGCCACCGCCACTGACGCATTGCTTGCCGTAGAGCCAGACGCACAGCCTCACCATCCAGGACCACCGCCCCGGCATCCAACTAAAGGAATATTTAAATAAACTTTTTTTGAGCAACGAATATTTAAACAGATGTGAGTAACTTAAAGGAAGGATTGTGTGGGTTCAGTAGAATATTTAAACATGTGGGCTCATTAAAAAAAGCAAGATTGTGGGCTCTATTACGGTGTGGGGCCTACTAATTAATAGGTTGATTGTGGGCTGAATGTGTAAATGGTTCAGGATTGTGGGTGGTTTGAATTACAGGACCAAATGCCTGTAATGATTATGTGAATATGATGATGCCCTTATGGGTGATTTGGAAGGTTAGGAGGGATGTGGTAAAACATTTCTAGTCACCCTTTGCGACTAGCAGTTTCATCTCAAAGATTTATGGAACTGGAGGCGGACACCATAAGGACTGTGAGTCAACCAACGGTCCAGCCGCCACGACAGCGACTAGGCTGGATTCCTCCTCCTAGGGGCGATGCGAAGGGCAGTGTTGACGGGGCCATTTCTGAGATGCACCGGAGGAGTGCTGTTGCAGCAATTTTTCTGTCAGATGATGGTAAGTTCTTAGGGGCTTCGGTGCTGGTCATGGCTGGGATCCTAGACCCTGGAACCGCTGAAGCAATTGCCAGTAGAGAAGCTCTTTGTCTGGCACAAGATGTACGTCCGAATTCTATGACTATTGCATCCGACTGTGCTGGAGTTGTCCAAAGCATTGAAGAAGGAACACTGAGAATGCTATGATTATAAGGAAGAGAATGTAATGGGGATGCCCATACCATTGTTATAAATTCGTTAAATCTAGAGGTTGGACTTCATGTCTAGCTTTTGGAGCCCCCAAGTTAAGTTAAACTTTCTTTCATTGATTAATAAAGTCCGGTGGTGTTTCGCTAAAAAAAGGTAATCAAAGGGACGTAGTTTGCGATGGATAAAATATCCACATCCTATTTATTTTTAATGCATGCATTTCTTTAAGAGCATTGACTTATGGTTATGCTTGCCCATTTGAAATGTCAATTAATACTAGGATCATTACAAGTCTGCAAAATTATGACTAGGTGGGGGAAGGGAGACTCGTGAAGCGGTGTGAGTATGATGATCAAATTTGTCGCTGTGATTTAATCATGTTTGTCATGAATAGGTGGACAGAGTGACCACCATTGATGATTGTGACAAAAAGGAGAATTAGCAACAACAATGGGTATCTAGGAATGTACAAGAATTTGTTTCTCCGGGTTTCAATGCACGGCGACATGTTGTATGGGCGCTAACAACAAAATTCTTTGAAAATATATAGGACCTCTAGAGCTTGCTACTGGCCTTTTTGTTTTCTAGAATTATTTGTCTAAATGCCAAGATTTCCATATTATTGTTTTCTATTTTGTTAATATTGTGTGACAACGGCACGGATTGATGACAACTAGCGCTCGCTCGACCAACTAACACATGCCAGCACCAGCTCTGCTACCATCATGAAATATATTTCAAGCTGGGATAAAAAATAACCATTTCTGTTTTTACTTAAATATAATGATGAATTATAGATGTATGTAAACACATTTTAAGTCCATCTGTAATCAGTATATAACTTGCTTTTCTGTGGGTCCACGGATCTGGTAAGCAGTACTTCGCATGAACCATCATTGTGTTTTGCCCATATAATTCTGACTAAATTTAAATACACATCAATTCTGTGTCTCCTGTTGCAACGCACGGGCATTTGTGCTAATATACGCAATGGAAAGTAATGTAAATATATCAATCTAGTTCCAAGCATTTCACTCTAGCATAATTAACCAGTTGAATTGATCATCCACAGTACATGCATGATATAAGTCCCACAAAAATTCAAAATAAATAGCCAATAGCAGGTTCTGCTCTATGGTCCATGAACTACATTTAAAGAGGCACGGTAATTTGAAGTTCTTGTCTGAGAACACACACACACACACACACAAATCTATAGAACATCGGTTAATTCTGTTGGCTCCATGCATTAATCAGTTGTTAGAATGAATTTGTCAGTAGACTCATCTTCGAAGGCTAGTAGTGATTGGGTAAGTGCCTACAAGAATAAAAACATCAAGCTTCAGTTAGATACATTTACATTTTTGCTCCTGTAGAAATATGGCAACATAAACAAAAACAAGAATGACTATTTGTGTGCAGAAAATGCATTAGAGGGAATGGGGGAAAAGTACAACCTAAAATGGTAGTAAGAGGTATGAGTTTTACATATCTTCAATTATTTAGTATTCCTATATGCTCGGAAAACACGTATGGAGATTGATGACAAACCAAAATGTTTGTGTGATACAAATTTAATGAGTGCTAAAAACAAAGGAGCAGTTCGCATGTTTGGCAATCAATCTTGAAGGGCGCTACAACGATGAAAATTGGATTAACTAAACGTATAGGTGAGACGCCAGCCCTAAAAATTATATCTAACAAATAAAGTACGGGACAAGTCAAAAAAAACTACAAGTAGTAGGCGTGGCTGCCGGCCGAGCACGGAAGTGGAGTCCTAACGCCACGCCAGCAGAATTTAGATGAGCAAGCCGACCTGGCAATGGCTTACATGGTGTTGCATAGTACGATAGCAAGGCATGGTATTTTGCTCTCTTTTTTTGAGAAAAATGTATTTAGCTAGTACTATATTATGATATGTTTTCTATAATTACATTTTCCTCTATATAAGCGTAATTTAAGATTCCACATCGGGCCCAAAATTTCCTCTACAACCTTCGAATTTGAGTTAAAGCATACTGGATTTTACACAAGAGGGAAATGTGATAACTTAGGATTTACAGCAAAAATCAACCACTATGTTAAAAGAAGAGATGTTTACCTTCTATGATGTCCTCTCCACAATCCGATATAATTACAATCAAGTTTCTAGTTCTTCGGCAAAGTTTCGTGGCACGAAATATTTGAATCTGTAAAGTCAACAATATAATTTCAAAGTGACATTATTGGCATAAATTATACAATCAATAGTAAAAACATAATAACAACTTACTTGAACATCTATTTCGGCATTTAAGCGTTTTGCTTGTTCAAAATGGTCGTTGCCTATGTCCAACAACATCTTCTCTAGCTGACAAGTTAGAACATTCAATAGCATAAAAAATTACATCAATAAATTAGACATACGCAGGCACGACACATACACAATCTCTTTTAATTTTAAAACACCTACCTCAATTGTACTAGAAATATATTCTCCATTGAAGCGTTCAATAATATCACCCTTCCTGATTCCAAGTTTCTCAGCATTCGATTCTTTTGACACCTAATGTTTAATTGAACATGATTACTCCATAATATGCATGTGAGTAACAGTTTAGAGACAACTAACAATAAATGTTAAAATAAAAATGGTTAAGCACCACCATATACCTCTTCAACAATAAGACCAGACTCAATGTTATGCTTACGCCTCATCCTCTCAATACCAATTGGATCTAGAAGCTTGATGGAAGTAAAGGTCATTCCAAGGTGGGGTCGAGGGATGCACCTATACCAAATATAATCATTAAGATTGTAATCGTTTTACAGACTTGTTTTAAAATAAAACAACATATTTCATTAGAATCAATACCAAATGAGTAATACACAAACTTAATCAATAACATTATAGAATTAATACCATAACAAGACATTAGTTCACGCCCTTCTCAAAGGAGGATTAAACTAGAAAAATAACTCACCAAGTTAAAAAGAAAATAAAAATGTTTACACCAAATTAAGTTCCTATACCCTGCGAGGAATAGTTTGGAAAACATGTGGAATTCGATAAGGTGACCAACACACATTTTCTCTATAATGTTAGACACATTTTGTAGCACCTAGGCCTCCCGTAATGATTTTTCTGAATCATACTTTAGCAATTCATTTAAACATAGAGTAGTAATTATTAAGCAACCACAATATGAACATAATTTTGTAGTTATTCAATTGTATTGCATGAGTTACATTATATAACATAATGCATTAGCTTAATTAACAACACTAAAAACGAATTGGGAATAAGGGTCGTACTTTAACTTTCTCCATGAATCCAAGCACTTGTGCAATATAGAAGAAGGTAAAAAGGTCTCATTGATTTGATTGTTAACCATTCCCACAACCTTCCCTTCCAAGTCAATGATAGGGCCTCCATCGTCACGCAACTACAACATAGCAATGATAATAATATTATAATTTATCATTTGTACTAATAAAATAGCAACATTAATTAAAATAGAAAACATAAAGTTAGGATTTGATCATAGTACGTACGATATGTTCATTGTTGGAAAAATACATGTAGTGACATCTCTCGTAAGGGACAGGAATCATGTATTCCACCCTACCATGGGTTATCCTTAGATCAAGACTTTCATCCCTTCCAAGTCGGAACACATCTTGACCAGAGTGCACATTGTCATTAAAAGTGGACAGTTGAACCGGTTTGTTCACTACAACCTCGTAAAGAGCAAATTCATAGTGCTCCTGGAGGTAGAGGAGACTGGCTACTGCAGTTGTGTCGTCAAGCAAGTGAACAATGACCTGGAAAAGACAACCACAAAGATTATGACACTGCAATAGAATTTTCGTAGTATTTGAGGAAACCATTTTCGAGAGATTGACTATCAGAAAAACCGAACGCCACACCGAATCAAGTATATTATTTCAAGTACACAGTGTACATACATAGTAAATTGAAGAGAAGGCACATCTAATTGGTAAACGGGTGTCGATGAGGCACATTGCAAATGATTAAGTTTTGATACGAAAAAAAGGAAAACAAACAAGCACCAATGAGTGGAGAAGATAAATAAATAGAATAGCGAATTAATGTTAAGAAGCTCACCTCAGCGTCGCGATAATAGTAACTTACTCGAACACCTATTTCAGCATTTAAGACTTTTGCTTGATCAAATTGGTCCCCGCCTATATCCAGCAACATCTTTTCCAACTAACAAGGTACAGAAGTCGAGAGCATAAAGTGTCACATAAAAAAAATTGTTTTCTCCATTTTACCTAAAAAAAACCTTACCTCGGTTGTACTAGAAATATACTCTCCATTGAAACGTTCAATAATATCACCCTTGCGGATTCCAAGTTTCTCAACATTCGATTCTTTTGACACCTAATGTTTAATTGACCATCATTAAACCATAATATGCACGAGGAACATTTTTTTATGAAAACTAATAGCAAGTGTGACAATATATAGATAATGTTAAACAACACAATATACCTGTTCAACAATAATACCGGATGCAATGTTATGCTTACACCTTATCCTCTCAATACAAATAGGATCTAGAAGCTTGATGGAAGTAAAGGTCATTCCAAGGTGGGCACGAGGGACACACCTATAAAAAATATAATCACTAAGATTGTAATTGTCTTACAGGCTTATGTTAGAAGTAAAACAACATATTCATTAGAAAAGATACCAAAATGAGTATCACACAAAACTTAGGCAAGACCACTATAGAATTAATACCATAATAAGACATTACTTCACACCCTTCTCAAAGAGGATTAAGCTTGAAAAATAAGTCACCAGGTTAAATAGAAAAACTAAATCTTTACACCAAATTGAGTTCCTATACCCTGCATAGAAATAGTTGGGAAGGCACGCATAATTTGATAAGGTGATCAACACACATTTTCTCTGTAATGTTAGACCCATTTTATATATAGCACCTAGGCCTAAACATAATGATTTTTATAAACCATATTTTAGCAATTCTTTCATAATTTGATAAGGTGGTCAACACACATTTTCTCTATAATGTTAGACCCATTTTATGTATAGCACCTAGACCTAAACATAATGATTTTTATAAACCATATTTTAGCAATTCTTTCAAATGTAGTAATTGTTAAGCAATCGTAATCCGGGCATAATAACTTTGTAGTTGTTCAATCGTAATCTGGAGTATAAGAGAATGCATTATCTTAATTAACAACACAAAAAAGGAATTGGGAATAAGGGTCGTACTTCAACTTTCTCCATGAATTCAAGCACTTATGCAATATAGAAGAGGGTAAAAAGATCTCATTGATTTGATTGTTAACAATTCCCACAACCTTCCCTTCTAAGTCAATGACGGTGCCTCCATCGTCACGGAACTACAACATGGTAACAATAACAAACATTATAATTTGTACTAGGAAAATAGCAACATTGAAATAGAAAACATAAATTTAGAATTAAATCATAGTACGTACTCTATGTTCATCGTTGGAAAAATACATGTAGTGACATCTCTCATGACGGATTGGAATCCTATATTTCACCCTACCATGGGTTATCCAAGATTTTCATCTCTTCCAAGTCGGAAAACGTCTTGACCAGAGTTTACATTGTCGTTAAAAGTGGATAGCTAAACCGGTTTGTCCACTACAACCTCATAAAGAGCAAATTCATAATGCTCCTGTAGGTAGAGGAGACTGGCTTCTGCAGTTGTGTCGTCCAACAAGCGAACAATGACCTGGAAATACAACCGCAAAAATTATGACACAATGATAGAATTTTCATAATATTTGATGAAACCATTTTCGAGAGATGAACTATTAAAAAAACGCCACACCAAATCAAGTCTATTATTGGAAGTACGGAGTGTGCATACATACTAGCTAGCTAGTTCATTTTTCTTCTACGAAAATTGGGGAGACCACAATTAATGGTAACCGTTGTGGATTGAGGCATTGCAAATGGTTAAATTTTGAGATGAAAGGAAAAAGGGCAACAATAAAAAAAACTAGTGAATGAAGATGACATATACTTAGAATAGTGAGTTAGTGTTAGGAAGCTCACCTCAGCCTCGCGATGATATTCACCCGTCCACTCATTCTTCCACTCATCGTATTCCTTTGCGCGAATGAGATGCGCAGACGTCAAAACCACGGCGGTATTCTTCTTGTCGTCCCATTGAATCCACAAACCAGAACACCTATTCAGCGGCTCATCGTCTGCAATGAAAGCAAAACCGAAAGTCACAACACTCGGTCGATGTCCTAGAAAAATATTACCAATATTTATGTTTAGTTATGTACCAAGATAGGACGAGAGGGTGACGACAGAGTTGGCGGCAAAAAGCACGGCATCCTTTGTAGGCTCGCGGATATGAAGAAGGCTTCGGTCGTTGGACAGGCACGAACGGGGAGAGTAGCGATCCAAGGTGAAGACAAACCGACAAGCTACATACACATACACAAAAGAAATTAGCTATGTTAGTGTCTTGGTAACGACAATGAGGAGGAAAATTTCGAACCAACTGGGGAAAAAAATTCAGCTAGATTAGTGTCTTGGTAACGACGATGATAATGACGAGAAAAAGAGGGATCAATACATTTGCCTGCTCGGTATTCGGCTTCGGCGTGCTTGTAGGCGGCACGTATGTCCGGCCTATGAGCTAGCTCGTCGGGGATGTAGGGTTTGTGGAGCAGAGGGCTGGGTGGATAAGAGGATTCCTCCGCCAAGGACTCGACCACATCATCGTCGTACGCACGATCTGCATGCATACATACAGAAAATATAAGCACCAATACTGCTAGTAGTAGTACTACTCATGTCGTGATTAGGAGGGGAATCGGGCGGAGGTTGGGCACCTAATTTTGGTTGGGGTTGGGCTTTTTCACTCTCAAAGGCCGCGAACATCACTGCCAGTGCCAGGCTTCTCTTGGTCTTCTTCTTCTTCTTCCTCCTCGCTTCCGTCTCCGTCTCCGTCCCCGGATTCCCCCTCCTGCGCCGCCTCCCGGCCTTCGGCATCTTCCAACGGTTTGGGGTTGAGGCGGCTGCGTCTGCGTGCGTGTCTTGATTTTCAATCTCTCCTCTTCTTTTATAGACTGCCGCGACGAGAAGCTGTACCAATGGATGCGGGACTTGTTTCCGTCACTGACTCGACCTGGGCTGCCCGTGGACCCTGGCCCAGCAAACCCTATTTCACGACAATGACCGAAATGGGTCGGCCCAGCTAGAGTGTTCCAAGCCCCCGACAGGGTAGTTCGAAATATACATGTTACAAAAAACACTTCACACAAGTTTTAGAAAAAAAATGTTACAGTGCATCTGAAAAGTGTTTAATGTGTGTAGAAAAAAAATACATGTATACAAATAATCATTTTTTAAACCTTTACAAAAAAATGTTTCACATGCACAACAAAAAATGTACGATGTGCACAACAAAAGTTAGACATCAAAACCACTATTTGAAAAAGAAATGTTAATCATGTATATGAATTTTTTAAACCTGTATAAATGTTTTTAGATGTATACCCAAAATATACAATGTGTACCAAGACAAGATATTAAAACATTGAACTTGTGTAGAAAATGTTATCATGTAGTTAGAAAATTTAAACATGTACACAAAAAATTAAACTTGTGTAGAACAATGTTTTAAATGTGTAAGAAAAAATGAATGATGTGTATTGTAAAAAGGAGAAGTCAAAACATATATTTGAAAAATATTAATCATGAATATGAAAAATGTTAAACATGTATAAAAATGTTTAGGTGTATACCAAATATGTACAATTTGTACAAAAACAGAATATATAAAAAACATATATTTGAAAAAAGCATTTAATTGTGTATTAAAAATTTGTTCTTGACGTATACGAAAAATGTACAATTTGTGAATGTGCTAAAGAAAAATAAAATAAAAAGATAAAAAAGTAAAACCAATGAGAAAAAGAAAACAAGAAAACCAGAGAACAGCCAATATAAAAAAATGAAAAAGAAACAAAAGAAAAGTAAACAAGAAAACCAAGAAAAAAAACAAAGAAACAAACCTGGAAAGAAACCAAGAAAACCAATGGAAAAAGAAAACGAACAAAGAAAACCAAAGCAAATCGAACTACAGCAACAGGGGGAGTATAGCTAACGCGACGACCCATGTGCGAGCCTTTCAAGCGAGCTAGATGGATATCTCGCTGTAACCGAGACATAGCATTCGCGGTCCTGTACGGTGGCGTGATGGATATCTCGCTATAAGCAAAATATAGCATTCATGGTCTTGTAGGGCGACCTGGTTGGCTGCTCGGTCATTTTTTTTTGAGAAACAAAAATGCATTGATCGTCGGATTTCTTTTAGACAGTCTTGTGAAGCTTTTATTAAGTCGTCATGATGTTTGCATGGATGAAATTAAGGGATCCAAGCTGACCTAATCAAACATGACAGACATCCCTTAAGATAACGGTAATGTAAAAAATCTGACGTCAGACTTTTAACTTTTCAGCATGGCAAATCTAATGCTTCTGATGGCAAGTTTAGTTGGCACGAGGGTGGCAAACTTAGTTTACAAGAACGACAATTTCCTAACAAAAACAATATGGA